AGATTTTGAATTATTTTTATTTATTTATTTTTTTTTTGTGTGCGTGTAATAAACGATTCATTTTTCTGGGCCATGCATTAAAGGTCGCATATATACCAGTTCATCGGAATATTTTTAATTTATTACCGATTCTTTTTGTATATATATATACTCTTGGCATAATTGATATATATATACGTATATTGAGGTGATTTAACATTTTCAAATAATATCGTAGATCGATTTTATTTGAAAATTTTCTTTAGAAACCAGCTACAATAATTGCAGTAATTTTATTTTAACGCCATTCATTATCTTGCATTGAAAAGATGGCAAAAGTTCGTATAAATTTTAATAGTATCATATTAGTAGCTTTGATCCTGGCGATTTTAGTGATATGTACTAGTAGCGGTTTTTTAAGTTATGACAAAAGAAACAATTTAATGAAACGACAAAATACTGCAAAATCACCTAATACACCCAAAAACACCCCAAACCAAAATTCTCCCAAAAACACCCCAGCTCAAAATTCTCCCAAAAACACTCCAGCTCAAAATTCTCCCAAAAACACTCCAGCTCAAAATTCTCCCAAAAACACTCCAGCTCAAAATTCTCCCAAAAACACGCAGGTTCAAAATTCTCCCAAAAACACACCGGTTCAAAATTCTCCCAAAACCACCCCAGCTCAAAATTCTCCCAAAAACACGCAGGTTCAAAATTCTCCCAAAATCACACCAGTTCAAAATACACAAAATTCTCCCAAAAACAATCCAGTTCAAAATACACAGAATTCTCCCAAAAATACTCCAGTCCAAAACACGCCCGTACAAAATACACCAGTACAAAACACACCAGTACAAAATACACCCAGGCAAAATACACCCAAGCAAAATGCACCAGCACAAAATACTCCTAAGCAAAATGCACCAGCCCAAAATACACCCGTACAAGATACACCCAAGCAAAATGCACCAGCCCAAAATACACCCGTGCAAAATACACCAAAGCAAAATGCACCAGCACAAAATACACCGGTACAAAATACACCCAAGCAAAATGCACCAGCGCAAAATACACCCGTACAAAATACACCCAAGCAAAATACACCTGTTCAAAACACACCAACACGAGATTCACCAGCTTTGAATACACCAACGCAAGATGCACCAGTTCAAAACACACCAACACGTGATTCACCGGCTTTGAATACACCAACGCAAGATGCGCCAGTTCAAAATATACCAACACGAGATTCACCGGTTTTGAATACACCAACGCAAGATGCACCAGTTCAAAATACACCAACACGAGATTCACCAGTTTTGAATACACCAACGCAAGATACACCAGCTTCGAACACACCAACGCAAGATGCACCAGTTCAAAACACACCAACACCAACACGAGATTCACCAGTTTTGAATACACCAACACAAAATGCACCAGTTCAAAACATACCAACACAAGGTGAACCAGCTCAAAACACACCACCAGTTCAAAACACACCAACACAAGGCGCGCCTATTCCAACACAAGATGCAAATACTCCAACACAAAATGCGCCAGTTTCAAATACTCCAACACAAAATGCAAAAACTCCAATACAAAGTTCATCGGCTCCAAATACATCAGGCGCGCCGGCTCAAAATACGCCAGCACAAGGTACGTCTGTTCAAAATACACCATCACCGCCAGCACGAGGTACGTCTGTTCAAAATACACCATCACGAGGTGCGCCTGTTCAAAATATACCATCATCGGTTCGAGGTACGTCGACGCAAAACATTCCAGTTCAAAATGCGGATGGTGATAATATTCCAACACAACCGCCAGTTTCAAACACTGCTAAAGCAGGTAATCTGTCAACTTTTGGTTTTACTATGTGATAAAATTCTATTGAAATTGTAGACAACATTAATCTTAATTCTAATATTTCATTTTTCTTAGCAAGTAAATCTAGACCTATGGATCCACCTCGAACAACAATAACTTATGATGTTTGTAAAAATCAAATTAATTGTACACCTGACCCACCGGACGTAACGTGCGTATTTTATTTTT